CCAAGTGAAAACCCCTCAGCTTCCTAAAATGAATGCTAGCAGTTTAGGGTTACAGATGGGTTGTAGAAAACAGTTTGGATAATAGTAATACAGAAATGCCACGGCAAGCTCATGCTGTTCCCCCAAATTTCAAACAGTTGGGTTTCAGGTTGGTTCAGGCAATAAGCAGTTGCTTAATACAGAATGTCTCGATGAGAACAGTGATGATAGAAACTTGGCTAAAATGCTTCCCTGCCAGATTCTGTACTAAATAAGGTAACTAGGTTCCAATAAAACAGTGAGGAATATGTTGCATTTTTCATTTTGCTGTCATTTCAAAGTAATGTGCAATTTTTTATTTATGAAGAGAAGTCTCCAGGTACAACATCAATAGGGTTCATACTTTGCATTGTTTTTCTAGTAAGGATTCAGTTTAATTCAAATGAATCAAAAAATTTTAAGCACCTACTATCCACCAGGCACTGTGTTATATGCTGGGTCTGCACAGATGGATATGGTCCATTCTTGGGTCTTTAATAGCTTGGGTTTGTGTTTATTCATCCACACCCCTTCACCAGCTCTCCTTATTAGTGGAGTTCTCATTTGTGAGCCCTGCTTTCATGAGCTCGAGCAGTATGTACCTATGGGCTAAGTTTATGGAAGGAAGGGATTTGTAACCTTCGCCACAGCCAAGATGTCTAACCCCATATTTATACATCTTAAAAGTCCAGCATATCTTGGGCACAGGGTCAGTACTATTGATAACTCAGTCCTAAGGACTATGTTTTAAAAGGATCATTCACATCTATGTTCCAGGAATATCCCTTTATGTGAATCAAGAAGTGACTTTGAGCTACTCTACTCACCCAGCCCCGCCCCTGAGCTGCTGCTCCTGCTTCCTTACCCTTGAACTCCAATGATTAAGAGAACAGAAGAAGGGATGGGAGCCAGAAAAACGTCAGAGCAGAGCTGTTAACACCATTCTGGATTAAATTTCCATTCCTTTCCTTTTCATTCTAAGAAGTAGTAAGAGCCCCTAAACTTTGAATTCATCTGGTACAATAATTTTGAAGGATCCAGAGAGCTCAGAACTTGGGAGGATCATCCAGTGTCCATCTCTGGCCACTCTGCCATTACTAGGCCAAGTCTGGACTTTGTCAAGGAGGACAACACAATTTATCTTTGTAAAAGTTAAAACCAAACCAAACAAAACCTGACTCAGCTGAACAGATTCTCTGAGCAGGTAGGTGCCTGTTATCTTGGGGTGCTGGTGAGCAGGGTTGTAGGTTTTCTAGCAATCAATTCAGACTCTTGGGCCCGATTAAATCTGGGCAACCTAAGAGAGGTATATAATTTTAGACTGGCCTTTCTTTCCTTCTTTCCTTCCTTCCCTCCTTCCTTCCTTCTTTTCTTCTCTCCCATTCCCCACCCCCAACCCCCATTTTAAGCAAGCTGGTTGAGAACTCTGTGTCCTCTACTTCAAAGGGCCAGTTGTCTTATTTTGATGTGGGCAGATTGAGAAGTAGGCTTTGAAAAGTAGGCCTTTTTTGTTGTTGTTGTTTAATCTTTTCTCCTGGGATAGCTTTCAGAGCAATATATCCAAGTGTCGGTGAGGGGGTTCTGACGAGCACAGATTCCCAGACTCTCAGCAGGATCATTCTCTAACAGAAATATAAAAGTGAAATATTAAAAACCCTGGAACGTGAACTCCATCTGCAGAGTAGCCAGGGTCTTGCCTGCTTGCACCATGGGAAAAAAAGATCTCCTTGAAAAAAGAGGGAGGAGAAAAAAGTGCTTTGAGTAAGAGGTTTACAGGTTTAGTAGAGCATAGTAACATCCCCTCAAAGAAGTGGGTGTTGCTCTGTGACCCCCCAAAATGCTCCTCCTTTGACTCAGCCGCCAGAACACTCACCCTCCCCCAGCAACATACCCCCTTTTCACATGCTAACCGAGGCGCCTGTGATTGGCTGAACAATAAGCTGGTCACACTTGCTAAAGGCCTGCCATCTTTCACACAATTAGCCAAGACACATTAATCAAACTGGAGGGGAACTGGGCTGTGCTGGCCTCCTGCAGTGGGGGGAGGGGAGAAGTTTTGGTAATCTTTAATAAGAGTCTACAGGATGTGATAATAGGACAGCATGCTAGAGAGAGGATTCTACTATCAGAAAGTCTAAGAAGGTGCAAGTCCCAATCGATGCTATATCTGCAATGCACTGGGTTTGTAGCACACAGGATCCCTGAAGCTTAGAGCAAACTGGATATTGTCTTGGCTAAAATCTGCTAATACAAGACAGTAGTGTGAATTGAAAGGGTGGACCCCTCTAGACATTTTTACAAAGTTCCCTTGCCGTCTTAGTCCTGCCCGCGAGAAACTGCACCCAGGAGTACCTCCCCTTTTAAGCATCAGGCACTTTGGGTCCAACTGGAACTGATAGGAATAAAGCATGTAAGAAGCAGAGAACAATTTAGAATGAATTAAGAGAAGGTATTAACTGGCAAGGTGTTGGTTCTCAACTAAGTATTTGGAGGACATTAAAAATAGTTAATTTTGAGAGAAAAAATAAGTTAACATTGGTGCTTTCAATGGAAACATCTTCTGACCTTTTTTCCCCCACATTTCCTTTAAATAGATTTTCCAATGGCAATCAAGAGCTAATAAGATCGTATGTTAGAGATGAGTTTGCTACAGAATCATGTGAGGCTTTTAAGAGAATCAACTAAATATTTAGACATTTCTCTACTAAAGTAAACAGAGGCCTTACAACTCTGGAGGTTGTCCAGTCACCATCTCATTAGATGCAAAGATCCCGTGATAAAGAAAAACTTTTTTTTTTCTGCCCACATGATTGCAGCACAGTTGTGGTTTTTAATGTGTCATTGATTGTTTCATCCAGCTCCTTTTGCTCCACTGAAAAGGTCTGTCGTGGCTCTGTTTGCTTCCTTAAACAGGGTTTTTGAAAGCGCTCACGCTGTGTGAGCTCAAATCCTAGCATTAATGTACTGCTGGGTTCATTTCACCACACTCAAAAGCGCTGAGTTTAAATCCCTCTCAATTCCATTTGAGGCACCAAAAGACTTTATCCTTCTCCACTAATGGTTCCAAGTTTATATCTAGATACTGGGGTCAAGGACAGGAGAGGATTTAGAAATAACAGTGCGTGACATTAGTCAATGCATTTGCCAAATTGGCAATTAGTTCCTGATGTGCGTGCAAAGCATCTTATTCCTGTCTCTTTGATGCTTGTCTGCATCGAGAAGGGAATAGAGTCCACAGAGGCCTTCAGACTTTTAAAGAAATATCTGCTGAAAATCATGCCTGAATTGTGACATGAGCTCAGCTGCAGGGAAGCATCCGGGATTATCCCGGTTCTTTTAGCCCCAGGAAAGAACGCTGCACATGGAAAGATTTTTCCACTGGAGGAACTTAGTGGAAATCAAAAGGCAGGAACGGGGTACGAACAGCCCTGCGGGGACCCGGACTCACATGTACTATAAACCATAGGCAAGTGGATCCCACCGACGCTTATTTTCAGGACACCTGCCTTTTCAACTTTTGACCACCAGGTGGAAGCAAGAAATAACAGGGACGGGAAATAACAGGAATGCTGATATCAGACAGCATTAAAATAGGGCAATCCAG